AGGGTGATTATTCTGCCAGTACAGTTTAATTGTCAACTTGCCTTCCAAGAACCCTTCAGATTTTAGAAGTTAGAAACTTCTTCCTAGTGCATAACTTCATATATTATGGAGCCTTACAAAATTACTGATTGCTACTGCCATCATGGCTTGAGCATCTTGAGTAACTCTCTCCCCCCTTCCCAATTGCCCTCCATAGACCAATTAATTATTTTGAGTACATATTGCTTGCCAGAAACAACTATGCCATCACTATTTTCCTTAACTGTATTTTGCAGCACATGTATATATTATCATCACCATTTTTGGGGTTGTTCCAGAAAATGTATAACAAAGCTGAGGTAATTTTAGGAAGTACTCCAGTTTTCATGATATTTATTTATTGTGAGTTCATATGCTACTACAGTGCACATGTAGATGTCAGAGGAGAACTTGCAGGAGTCAATTTCTCCTTTCACCACGTTGACACCAAGGATTGAACTCAAGCTTAACGTTAGGCTTGGTGCCCATCAATCTAACCTGCTGAGCCACCAAACTGACCTTACCCCAGCTTTTAAATCAACCAATAAGTAACCCCCTACGTATATTAACAATTTTATATTGAGAACCCCTTTCCCCATTTTTTTTTCTGAGACAGGGTTTCTCTGTAGCTTTGGAACCTGTCCTGGAACTCTTCTGTAGACCAGGCTGGCCTGGAACTCACACAGATCCACCTGCCTCTGCCTCCCAAGTGCTGGAATTAAAGGTGTGTGCCACCATCACCCAGTTTGAGAATACCCTCTTAAAGATGGTTTGTCAGGGTAAATAAACAGGTCTGTAATTACTAGTATATTCCAAACAAAGTAAGACTCTCTCTCTCTCTCTCTCTCTCTCTCTCTCTCTCTCTCTCTCTGTATATATATATATAGCTGTCTCTGCCGTTGAGGTACATTATGAGGAAAAAGAAGAGAAATCCATTTGGAGCCTTTATGGAGATTTTAGTATAAAAGAGAAGGCAGCTATTCAGTAAGTACAGTGAATAGGGATAAAGAGAACCAGGAGGAGCATTTTTTAAGTGGTATTTAGAAGTCCTGTGTGTGGAGGGGCTGTCAATTATGAGAAGTGTCTGGTGGTTGTGTTTTTGGAAGAGATCATAGAAGAAGATTTGTGAAGCCTAGGATGTAAGAAAGGACTTGTTCAAAAAAACAAAAAACCCAAGAAGTTCTAATGACCAAAGCACTGAGCTTGAGAAACATAGAAACCGAGGTAAATGGGGAGGCTGGTGGTCTGCATTACATAAGCTCTGCAAACATGACAGATGCTTTGGGTTTTCCAGAGGAAATTCTGTGAGAACAAAAGTGGTGGAGTCACTTGGCCGCCTCATCTGTGGAGATGGATACAGAGGTCCTGGACAGTGAAGAAAGGGCTGCTTTCAAGAGCCCATGAAAAGGTGGAATTGACAGGCTCTAGTAGTTGGTTTGAGGACTGAGAGGAAAGAGGAAGCAAGGTCCATTCTTGTGTTTCCAGTGGGATGGAGTGAGTGGGTGGCAGCATCATTTCACAATATAAGCAACAATGGAAACGGGAGCAGTTTCTGTTTAGGATTTGGATTTAAAGAGCTTTCAGAAGGTAAACATTTTTCTAGTGACCTAATTTGCCAAGGTCATTTTTATAGATAAGTCCAGTATAGGTAGCAAATCTTAGTTTTCCTTTATGATTTTGGAAACAGCAAGTTGTATCAAGATACAACCAATGACCACCAAAGACTCAAAGCAGTTTGACATGAATTAGCCAACAAATGAATGAGAATGTTTCAGAAACCAACACCCAGGAAAATGCATCCTCCCTTTGTATTTAAGAAGCACTAGCATTAAGTGAAAGGAATAACTTGAGATTCACAGTGTACTTATTAATAGGATGAAAGAAGCCTAAGCAGTTCCTCAGGTTGCAGAACTGTTTGGAGCTGTTTGTGTTATACAGATTAATCTCAGTCTCTTGAAGGCCACCTAAAATCTAATACCTGGAGTGAGATTAAGGGCAATAAAGATGAGAAATATATCCCCACATGTCTCTGACATACTGTCACACACTGATTATTCTGTGTAAGATTTACTGAATATCATTGGATGACAGCTGACAGAAAAGCCATTGGGGGAATGATTGATGGGCAATTGTTGTGTGACAAAACCTTACCTTGGAAACACAATATACATGTCTACTCACCCCAGGTAGGGAACCCAAAACAGTCCAAAGTGAGATATCACCAAAGTCTAACTTGGTGAAGCAATAAGTTTTATTGGGGTTATTTACAGGAATATGGGTGAGGGGTTACTTGGAGGAGCAGATATGACTCAAAGACAGCTGCATCCAGGGACTTCCTGAAGTTCTTTTGGGTTGTATACCTTCCTGTAACAATGTAACTACAGCAATGAAAATTGGTATGAGGGCTGGCCAATGGCTCATGAGGGAAAGGCACTTGCTTCTGGCCTTGATGATCTGAGTTCAATCCCTGGGAACTATATGGTGCTGGTAGAGAACTGGCTCATGGCAGGTTGTTCTTCAACTTGCACACATGCACACACACTCCCAACACACACACACACACACACACACACACACACACACACACACACACACACACTAAATGTGAAAAAATTTAAAGAAAAATGATAGGACTTGCTACATACTTTGTACCAAGTGCTTCCTGCAGGATGGAATGTTCAATCTCAGAGGCAGTGCCTACACAACAGTAATTGACATTTATATCAACCCAAAATATTCATATGTCTCTCTTGTTTCAAGGGGAAACTTAGAATGACATTATGAAGATAGCAGGCCACCACTGAAATCCAGCAGTCAGCTGTTGTATCTGCCAATCAGCTGTAAGTGTGTCCTGACATGATTGAATGCTAAGAAGTGATTTCACCCATGAAAAATTTTAGACAAAAATGTTTAAGTAGAATCTAATCAAGATGTTAGCTCTAACTTTCTATTTATGGGTTATTCAGGAGATGAAGACCCTCACCATAGGGAAGTAGAAGGATCATTCATTCCGCAGAGAGCTGACCTCATATCATCAACATGGGAGTCCATGTATAAAAGCTTCCCCTATCTTCCTATGGAAACTTTCAGGTTCGTCTGTGCAGCTGAGCAACCAGTCACAGTGAAGGCAGCTACGTGAATAACGTTGGATTGGCTCACTTTTCCTTCTTTGTTCTTCTGTATTCCTTACTTCTGGTCCATGATTTACATCCAACAAGAAGGAGTTTAGGATTAACTTATGCCTTCTCACAGGTTTTGCTTTTTGAGCAAGCCACACTTAGGGGAAATGAAGTACATCCCATAGATTTAAGAAACTATTAAGTTCTATAATGTTTTCTATACAATATGGGAGTTCTGACTTGGGTAGGATTAGGACTACAAGTATATGTTTATTGAGATTATAGAACAGGAGTAGTAAATAGGTAAACTTGATCTAGTGGGAATAGAAAAGAATTCTAAAGCTATACTTAGAAATATTTGTCTTGAACACCGAGTAGAGGTGTTTCATGAAACCTTGCTTGTTTTCATTAGACTGAAGGTTAAAGGTGATGAAAGGGAAGAGAGGAAGCAATTACATAATATATAATCGTAATATGTCATAGGAGAAAATGTATGTGGATCACTTTCTCAAGCCTTGGGTAGTGCTCATAGATAGCTTCCTATCAGCTTTCCACACTCTAGCTCACCACAGAGAGCCTGTTTCCTGGTATAGTGTCCTAGATAGGCATGGAATAACCGTTTTTATCAAGAAGCTCCAGTTTTCTTTAAAGCTGGGGACTGATATCAGAGTTGAAACTGGCTGCTAAGGGTACTCCTTGCAACTGAAGTAACAATACATATGCTTATGCCATAGTGTACATGTGGAGGTCAGGTGATAACTTCCTTTGTCTGTCTATATCCCAGGGATTGAACTCGGTTTGTCTGACTTGGCAACAAATACTTTTACGTACTAGACCATTTCACCACTCCTCTTTGTTCCTCTTTATTTTTTAATTGCTGAATAATATATCATTGTGTGGATTTATAACATTGTTAGTGGTCATTTGGGTTATTTCTACTTTTTAAAGCTATTATGAGTAATGCTTCTACAAACATTTAAATACACATCTTATAATTTTTTCCTCTTAGGTTTGTAGACATGGATGGAATTTCTGAATCATTTGGAATTCTATGTGGAAGTTTTTGAGGAATTATCAAAGTAATTTTGGAACAGTATTTTGGAAACTATTGTTTTCTACATTGACAGCATACACATTGGAATGTATGAGTGTTCCCATTTCTTAGGCATTTGTTATTAACTACCTTTTTGAATGTAGCTGTATTAATATGCGTGAAATGGTAGCTCACTGTAGGCTTTTTCCTTATGTTCTAATTTTTTAAAGTAAACTCTATTAAATTCCTATGTGGGGATTTTTATAATAAGGAAATCAGTGACAGGGACCTGTAGATTTCTCACTAAAGAAATACAAATAAACAGCAGTGGGTTTTGATGCTTCTAGATGAAGAAGAGGAAAGTAGTTTACAAACTCTTCAACACAACATAAAGAATGCATTCTGGATGGACACATACTTCCCAGGTAGAATGAGACCAATAAGACAGGTATACACCATGAATGCAGAAGACCCATGTCTTGTAACCAAAGCATGGCAGGGTGTATGTGCGGTGTGGGAAAACCTATCCAAAGCTGAAGGACATCTGGCTTTGTATCTAAGACACAATTCTCCATTCCCAGGCATCCTTCATTTGTGGTTGGGAGTCATATTTTTCCAACTCAGTTTTAACTGCATTGTTTAAATTTAATTATAAAGACTATACTTAACTTTTAATGCTATGACTCATATAGTACCAAAATAATAAGAATATATCATTAATAAACCACTTACTTTCTTTTTCTTATGTTGTAAAGTACATGGTGACAAAACCAGGCTGTTACTGTTATAAATGATTTAAAAACCTTCAAAATGTATTTTCTCTTAAAATTTCATCTTTAGATTTTAGCCTTCTTTATATACTAAACAAGAAACACTGGAAAAGGTAAATAACATGTCTAGGTAAAATTTTAAATAAGATGTAAAAAGAAAAACTTTCTTTTTGAGCATGAAAGTAATTTAACACTGAAGAACACTTGGAGAATGCAGTATATAAAGGAGACAATTGATGTCATGTATTCCCTTACCACACAAAGATAATGATTAATGCTTTGGTACATACCCAGAGTTTTTTCCATATGTACATACAGCAAATCAGGCAACCACCAATACCAGTCCAAGATGGTAGGCAGACTCTCCCCAGTAGAGATCTAGGTATTCTGGAAAATGTAGAAATGCTCATCTTTCAAGATTTCTGCCAACATGCAGGGACTAAGAAGGAAGAGAAAACGAAGATGGTAGGTAGAGAGTTGACACAACTTAGCTTGTGTACCAAGTTACAGACTGAATGCCAGATCTGCTTTCCAATGAAGAAGACAAAGGAGGCAGGAGGTATGTAAGTGTGGGAATATTGACCTGTTTCTAGGTACTAGAAGAATGGTGGAATTATGACCAGTGTATGCTTTTTCCTGCTCGGGCCATCTCAGGAGATGAAGCTGACGTCCTCTTCGGGTGGAGTTCACTAAAGGTGCCATCTTTGGGTTTTAGAAGACAGCCACAGGGGAAATCAAGACATGGGAGTAACATTGTACAGATGGAAAACTAATCCATTTGGAGCTGGGGAGATGGCTCAGAGGTTAACAGCATTGGCTTCTCTCCCAGAGAACTCCAGGTTTGATTCCTAGCACTCATGTGGTGACTCACAACCATCTTAACTTCATCCCGAGGAATCTAATACCCTCTTGTAGCCTCTGCAGGCACTAGGCATGCACATGTGGCAGGACATACATGCAGGAGAAATACCTACACACATGAAATAAAATGAAAGTCAAAAAAGAAAATGAATCAATATTTCTAGTTATTCTGCACATTTTCTGGAAAAAGAACTTTTGAAATAACTTTATTTTTCAGCCAAAGCTACTGGCAAGCTTAGGCAAATGTTCCAAATATGATAGTAGACATGGGCTTGCAGAGTCTATTATGTGTCTTACTACTCTTAATGGCAGTGGCAGGAAATTGCACTGTGTTATGAAAACTACAGATATTTGAAGAATGTGTATCTTTGTTGCCTTTACAATGCCTTAACAGTGTTTAGCTTTCAATGTGATTTTTTTTCTTCTAGAAAATTTTAACAAGTTGCAAGCTACACATCAGTGGAGTGCTTAGTCCAGTCATGGGTGTTGGATAAATATTCAAAACCACCAACGGTTGTTAGAATTTCCTCCATCTGCTTCAGAAAAGGTTTCTTCAGCAGTGCTATGAATTAAGAGTAGCTCCGGGCCACAAGAAAGAGACACATAGAAATGTTGCCCACAAGCCAATCCCACACAGTATGTCCGAACAAAAAGATCAGTATATGGTGGTAACTCTTGCGGTCTTCCCTGATTACTTAGCTGCCCTTTCTTGTTATTGGCTCTTTATGAATAAGGAGTTGAACCAGCTCCTGATAAGGCAACTAAAAAGTGCTGGCATTTGAGAAAGGATGACCTGTGAACATGGTCTTGGGTTTTACTTACATATTTATATCTCCCCAGGTCTAGCTGCAATTTGAGAAGAATTTGGAAATAAGGAGATAAGTATTCTTGTAGTCAAACGAAGGGCAGAAGTCAGTCTCTCCTGTGATCTACAGTCTGGATCTCATATCTGTGAGTTGAATCTCTCTTGCATGTGGGGTGAGTGCAGATTGTTCAACAGAGGCTCCTGTGTGCATCCAACAGGAGAAGTTTGTCATAGTGTTGCCTTCATCTTGATAGAGTAGTACAATCTGGCGGATGGTGGGGGTGGGCACTGGGGATGGGGGAGTGCTCAGGTAGGTGAACAATGAGGGCTAACATGCTGCCTGTAAAAAAGAAGCTCAGTGGAATGGATAGGTGAGCTGAGGCAATGGAGAAAGTGAACTGGGCGAATTTCAGAAAGAGTGGCCTTTGTAAATGCTGAAAGTGGCAGAAAAGCTGCAACAGGTATTGGATAAGTTGGTGGGGAATTCAGTAACATGTCCACTAACTCAGTACCAGCACCATCCACCATCCTTAGGCTATGATGAGAATTCAAATTTCAAGAGACAGTGAGAGGCTGGAAAGATGGTTCAGTGGCTCAGTGGATGCTCTTCCAGATGACATGGGTTCATTTTCCAGCACCCACAAGACAGCTGTGACTCCAGTTCCAGGGGATCTGACAACCTCACACAGACATATATGAAGGAGAAACACAAATGAATATAAAATAAAAATAAATAAATTATTAAGACATAGAGACCCATCTTGGTCTAAGTCTATACTTCGTATTTATCTTTAACCTTGGTATTAGGAAATACTGCGTCTGATGGCATGGCTATTCATGTGTGTGAGCAGAACTCAAAGCTACATGTAAGAATCCTGTGTCAGTACATTGGTAGCCAGCCTGTCTGCCTCTCTGATGGCATTGCCTCTTTCCCTCTGAGGCTGCTGAAATCTCAGTTAACAGAAGTCCCCCCAGGTTGGAAGTAAGCAACATCGATCTGTTGACTGGTCTTGCAGGGATCAGAGTATATGCCACATTGCTAACCGTTCAGCTTTTCCATGTTCTTCCCATCTCTTCTTTTGTTGGCCCTGCTTCTGACCAAGACCTTTGGTTTGTGGAAGGTGCAGATGCTGGGCCAGAGAGTCAACGAACAGAACTTGAATGCTAATGGAGTGACTACATTCTGGGTCTGTGTTCTGGCACTCTGTGTTTCCACTCATGTCAATTTGGCCAGTGGGTGATGTTATGGAGACTGCTTCGGGAAGCAGATGGGAGCCCACATTTTGTCATTTTTCTATCAAATAGAGGCTTAGAGTGTATAGGTTTCTTCCATTGCCTTCAGTGCCATGCCTTAGTCCTTCTGGGGTCATTTCCCCTGGAGGGGACCCTTGGATGTGTACTATTTTTGTAGTCTGACCTGCATGTGTCCTAAGAGGTGGAATCTGCATTGCTCTCCTCTCAAAAGACTTGGTGAGCTTCCTCTGTGAAAACTGGCTGTGCTCCTTCAGTGTTGATTTACATTTCTGCATAATCTAGGAAAGGATCCCAGGGATCTTGTGTTCTTTCTTGTGCTTTGGGTTTAGAGGTAGGAGTCACAGACTGCATAGAAGTCCCTGAATGAGTGCACCAACGTCACATGACACTGCCTTCTGTGCTGGCTTGGTTTTTAAGAGGATGCTGGGCATAGTCTGATTCTGGCTTGTAGAAGCATGGTTTTGTCTAGCACACTGCACAAATAGATGTACCCAAATTCAACTGGTGGTGGAGAGCAGATTTCACAGCTTAGCAGAGTCTGCCATTGAATCTAACATGTTGGCTTCATTGTAATTTTCTGAGTTGAGGAAAATTGTCCTGTGCAAAGGATCTGATGTAAGAGTGTGAATTGTGCTAACATGGGGGCATTGAACCTATAGTAGGAAAGACGTGAAAATAAAATAAAGCAAGATTAAAAACTTAAGTTTATAACTAAATTCTGTTCTCTCTCTCTCTCTCTCTCTCTCTCTCTCTCTCTCTCTCTCTTCTTTCTTAAGGTGGAGTCTCACTATGTTGCCCTGATCAGTTCCAAAATCCAATCCCTCCCACCAAACTCCCCAATATCTTCTTATTAAAATTTCTCATTCTAAATAGATTTATTTGAAGAACAAATTATGTCTGGAAGTCAGAGGTGAAATTTGGGCCTTAAAAACATTTTCTATACTTAATATTCTGCTTCTTATTAAAACTTCTCTTTCCAAAATAGGCTTACTGGATATAGGAAAAATAAAAGGGATGAACTAAATGCATAAGACTATTTCTATTGTTTAAAAGCAGAACTGTTGAAATATCAATCTATATATTTAATATAAGAAAAAGTACATGCTTAATATACATGAGATATTTAGAATATATAGACACAAGGTGTCTTATATATTATGCAATAAATTGACATATTGTGGGGTTGTTAAGGAGGGATTTGTCTTTCTGATTTCTGGTATTATTTGAGTGTTTGTACTCAGTATATTTATCTTTAAAAGAAAAACACATATTTTAATGGTCAGCGTTAGCAATCTTTTAGGAGATTCAATTATCTCTACAAAGGGAAACATCTGTAAAGGATTTCTTAACGATAAATAATATAGGCTAGTTCTTAGTTAGACATGGGAACGCTGAGGAAACAAGCTGGAAGGAAATAAACACTAAGTAATTAGCATAATTGAAAGAGTGGAGGTAGAATTAGCATCTATAAAGAATGGAGGTAGTCCATGCTTCTAATAAATATGTGACCAGTCACTCCATTATGTGTAGCCATTGCACCCAACTCTTTTAAACTCAAGAGAGAATAAAAGAACAGATATGATCACTTCCCTTAAGGATGTCTAATTAAGGTAGAATGTAAAGATGTGACAGGCTAAGGGGCCACTCTAAGAAACTCTGTTATGTAACAGTTTCCTTTGAGATGGGAAACATTGTATCCTACAGGGAAGCTCTGTAAGCACCAAGATAAACAATGCAAAAGAGCTACAGGAAGTCCCTGAAATTGACCAGATTCACTAGGCCCCTCCCTGCCAGAGTAAGCAGTAAAAGCTGAGAGATCCTTTCAGAGAAGCCAACTTGCAAAGAAGACTCAGACCAGACCAACTTCCCGGAAGAAACTCAGAGCAACAGAGACACCCAGGAAGGTCACTCTCCAACCTGTTGAGCTGCCTGCAGGCTGTGCAGAATACTCCAGGTTCCCAGCTTCATGAGTTGTCACCCATGCTGGGGTGGGCCTTTATAATGCAGCTCAGCTGTCTTTGAGTCCTATCTGCTATAAATAACCCCTCACCTATATTGCTGTAAGTTACCCCAATAAAACTCATTGGTTCTGCTCACCTGTGCATGCAAATTTGATTTCATCTTTAGTAAGTAGTAAAGTTATATGCTTGCAAAAAAAAAAGTGACACACTGGAAGACAAATGTAAAACAATTTCAATTTTATGTGTAACCTAGAAATGATGAACTTATGGGAACAGAGAGCAGAATTGTGGCTATTAGGCTTCAATGTGGGACTTTTAACAATGGGGAAATGATTGGTTTAAGGATATAAAACTGCAGTTGGACAAGAGGCATGGACTCTGTGAAGTCTTGAGGTCTACTGAGAGCATGATAAATATGGTTGATAACAATATGCTATACTTTAAAAGTTGTGAGATAGTATACTTTAAGTGTTCTCAAAACAAAAATGATGAATATGTGTGATATAGCATGTTAATTGGTTTAATTTAGCCATGCCATTGTGAACATACTGTATTCTGTATCATAATTGTGCATGACTTTATTTATGAACTAAATAAATGAAGGGAAAAAAAAAACCTCATTGGTTCACCAAGTTGGACTTTGGTTTGGTTATCTGTACTTTGGTTTGTTGTGGGAACCCTGTGTGGGATAAGGAGATGAGTGTGTTGCATCTTCCCTGGAAAAATTTTGTCATGCAACAAACTCCAACAGTGTAGCAGCATAGTATGTAGATACTTTGATTAATGGCCAACAGAAATTTTTAAAAATAAATTTTATTTAAATGAAAAACAATTTATTTTGCATACTAATCCCTGTTCTCTCTCCTTTCCATCCTCCCATGCCTGCCACCAATCCCCCATTCTACCCTTCATCCACTCCCCAGGGAGGGTGAGGCCTCCCATAAGGGATCATCAAAGTCTGACACATCATTTGGAGCAGGACCTAGGCCCTCCCCCATGTATCTAGGCTGAGAGAGTATCCCTCCATTAGGAATGGGTGCCCAAAGACCATTCGTGCACTAGGGATAAATACTGGTGTCACTGCCAGAGGCTCCATAGACTGCCCAGGCCTCTCAACTGACACCCGCATTCAGGGGGCCTGGTTTGATGACCATCAGAATTTGATAGAAATATATTGTGTGGGTCTGTTAGTATAACTAATTGAGGTTATTGTACTTCTGAGAAAAAGTGACTTGAAGCTAGTTAGTCTAATTTAAAAAGTAAATATGAAGATGATGTGATGGCTATTCTTGGTTGTCAACTTGTCTACATCTGGAATTAACCAAAGCCCAAGCTGCTGGATATACTTGTGAAGAATTTTTGTTGCTTGGATCATAGGAGGTGGGGAGACTTGCCACAAATCTGGGCCACACCTTCTGGTGTCAGCTTGTATAAAGAACATGGAAGAAGGAAGTACTTGCTCTTTACCTGTTTGCTCTTCCCCTCGCTGGCAAGTTCAGTCCTTCACTGGTATTATAGCCCATTTCTTTGGAATTTTGAAGTATACTGAAGATCATATTAGACATCCAGCCTTGGTAACTGAATAACTGGATTCTTGGACTTGTGGACTTGGTCCTGCAGGCAATGTAAAGCCATTAGAAATACAAAGCAAAACTATGTACTTACTATAAAACAACATCATGATCCAGAAATTAAAGCAATTTACATGGGAACTTATGGGATAAGTTTTATGGCTTCTCATATAGGCACTGCTGACATTTTAAGCATGCCTGTTTAACCAATTATATCCCATACAATCATGACCAAAGACACTACAATGAATACAGTCTTTGACATACTACCTTTTTTTCTATATGGGTAAAACAATAAAGTTCAAATAGTAATAGTTAGAGTCACAGAATTTTGTTAAATATTGTGCCAATATAGAACCTTTAAAGCAACAACAAAAAATAGAAATCATAAGGGCCAAGAAATTAATAATTAATAATTTTGTAGGTTTCTAAATTAGCTTTTTACTATAGTTACTATAGTATGCTTCTCAATCAAAGCTATGCCCTTTTTTTTTTTTTTTTTTTGGTTTTTCGAGATAGGGTTTCTCTGTGGCTTTGGAGGCTGTCCTGGAACTAGCTCTCGTAGATTAGGCTGGTCTCGAACTCACAGATATCCGCCTACCTCTGCCTCCCGAGTGCAGGGATTAAAGGCGTGCATCACCAACGCTGGGCTAAGGCTATGCACTTTTAACTAAATGCCTAATATACACCATACAGTCTTCGAGTGCTGTAACTATATTTGCTGGTTAGTTTTAAAGGTTAACTTGATTAACAAACAAGAATCTTCTGGGAGGTAACTCTTTAAGGGGAATTATCTAGATCAGGTCTGTCTGTGAGCACAGCTGCTGGGAGTTTTACTTTTTTAAAAAAAAATGATTATTGAGATAGGAAGATCTACCCTGAATGTGGGCAGGACCATTGCTTGGGTTGGACCCTAAAGAACTCTAGCTGAGAATAAGCAGAAGCAAGCAGATAGCATGAATGCATTGGTTCTTTGTCTGCTCTTGATCTTGGACATGGTACTTTGAGTTCCTAACTTTCCTGCATGCATGTGTATTGCAACCTGGAATTCTAAGCCAAATACACTGGTTCTGCCATGTAGAACATTGCTTTTGGTTAGGACATTTTATCAAAGCAACAGTAATTCAACTAGAACACTAAAGAGTTTTCTAACTAAAACTGTGTATGGGAGTTTTTGCCTTGTATGCCTGATGCCCATAGAGGCCAGAAGAAGACACTGAATCTCCTGGAACTAGACTTACAGATGTTTGTGAATCTGCATGCAGATTCTGGTGTTTGAACTTGCACCCTCTAGAAGAGGAGCCAGTACTCTTAACCACTAAGCCATTTATCTCTCCAGTCCAAAATTTTGTTTAATAATAGATATTATTGTGCCATATGCACCCTAGGGATAGAACTCAGGTCCTGTACCATAGCATCCTAGGGCTAGAACTCAGGTCATTAGTCTTGCTAGCATGCGTCTCTGCCCAATACCATCTGCCAGGCCCTAAACTATATACTTTCTTGATTATAGAGTAGATTTCGATTTTTAGAAAAGTTACAAAGGTAGAACAGGAAAGTCCATATGCTCTACACTTTACCCAAGTATATATTTAATTAAGACAATTTAATAATGGTGCATATAAAGTTTGAAAGTCCATACGCTACTTGAGTTTTCTTAGTTGGTGATTCTTTTTTTCTTCTCTGGAGCCATGCAGTGGTGTACACTGTCTTTGTTTACCCTGTTTTCCTCCCTTTCTTGCTGTGACAGTTTATACTAGTTTATTTTATTTATTTGCATTTTTTTCCAAGAAAGTGTCTCACTATGTAGCCCTGGCTGTGTAGGAACTGACTATGTAGAACAGGCTGGCCTTGAACTCATAGAAATCTGCTTGCCTCTGCCTCCTGAGGGGTTGGATCAAAGGCATGTACTACTAAGTATGGCTAGATTTTTTTTTTAAGACAAGGGTTTATTGTGTAGCCCTGGCTAGCCCGGAACTCATTATTGGCTGTCCTGGCGCTCACTATGTAGACCAGGTTGGCCTCAACTCATAGAGATCTGCCTGCTTCGGGCTCCCAAATGCTGCATAGTCAAATATCAAGTCACAAATAATTTTATGTGGTAGGCCTATTCTATCTACTTATTTACCTATCTACGTCCTACTTACCTATCTCATTATCTGTAATCTATTATCAAGCTAAAGCACAGGATCTGTGGTTACAAATTGTTAACTGCAAACTCCAGAAACATAGGCCAGAGCCCCCTCAACCCCTTCACTGTGCTCCTAATAGATTGGGTACTGTTCAAAAGGAAAACGAGCACATGGCACACACCTGGACCATGAAGGCAGCTTCTGGCCTAG